CAACTACGGTGGTATATTACAAAATGTAGCATATTGATGTCTAAAATACATAGAATAAGTTACCTTTCATTTGTATTCTTCTTCATAATAGTGAATTTTCTTTTATGTCGGTATATTCTAGTATTCTGCTGTCTTCCTTTGTGACCCAGCGTAAGTGAGCAGATGGTAGGGGCCATCATACAGACATGGTCCTCTGATTGGCTGACTGTGGACGTGGGGCGAGCCGTCTTGTATAGTGGCACAGCCTGTCTCTCCAACACAAAAGGCAGTGTGATCCCAAAGTCCTTATTCACTTCGTCTAATAAATAATCACCAATACCTCTCCAGTTTGGAGACGTAAAATTCTCCCCTTAACATGTCTTCTATTTTTTTTCGTTTTTTTTGCTGCTGCCTCCCTTGCTAATCTGTCCATTTTCTGTACCGGTAAATGAGTGCAATATGTTCCCAGCATTACTAGCACTTCAATGGTGAAGAAGTTACGAATGAAATTTTCTTTACCGGGTTCACATAAATCCCCTATTTTGTCTTATTCCTTTAACTTTTTCAGAAATTTTACTGGCAATTTGTGTACATCTCTTCCGGTGCTAAGTCTTAATACCTTGTTTTTACTATTTGTTTAGTGTCTACACTCCTGTTTCATGCTTTCCTGTTCGTCAGCACCCTAGTCACCCATCGGCCATGTAAGCTTCGACCTTTTGCTGTAAGTCAAGTTTGTTGGTCTCCTTGCAGGCTAGATACTCAGTGAACGACAGAGAAGTAAACCAATTATCAAAATACCATAAGTGATTCTTCAAGCATGCTATACGTTCTGCAAGATAAGGCAGATCTCATACTTAGCTCAAATTGCTTTCTTCAACTGATAGTATACCACGCTTGGAGAATTACCAACTGTAATTTGATAATTGGTTTACCTCTCTGCCTCTAGCATCTAGTCTGTAGATTTTTTTGGCACAGTGCTGTCAAGGAGACAACTGGGTTTGACATTGAAGACAGACAAAGAACTTACAGCATAAGATCGCTCATGTCGAATGGAGGAAAAGAATTGGGAGTCCTGATATTACAGCTCGCAAACATGAGATGGCCACTAACTCAGGATGTCTAGCAGATTGAAAGCAATTTGCCAAGAAACCAGTCTTAAGCAATTGAAGAAGCAAAAAAAAAAATAATAATACAGCTACATATGCCGATGCATTAAAAGTGAAAGAAACAGTAAATAAAATAGAAAAAAGTTAGAAAGTGACATTAAGATCTCAAAGGAAGAAATAAAGACAGCTTCGGTAAAGTCACACCTTGGGCAACACACAAGGAATGTTGCAATTTTGGCTGACGTAAACAAGGACATAGTTATATTGGAAGACGAATAAAAAGTTATAAAATCGAATCGAACGGCATGACGAAAGTCATTGTCAGTATTATCAAGGTCATAAATCCCGAATTTTCGGAGCAGAATATCTTAGCACACATGAGGTTGGGATCATTCGGAAAGGGAAAGAAACGCCTTTGAGAAATGACATTCATGAATAAGCAAATAGTGACATATAATAAAGAAAGCCGGAGTCCTGGCCACCCATGGAGAATATAAGATAATTTGGATAAGAGAAATTATGACCAAAAATGACAGAGGAAAAAATAGATAAGAACAAGATGAACAAAGTACTGAAAAAAAAGACGTTTATTTGGAAGGTGAGAGGTCTCTAAGCAAAACAAATTGTAGAGGCAGATAAATAGCTTTGCAGCCAAAAGTAATATCAAGATTATATAGAAATAGTCTATACAAATATAGATGGTCTATCATCAAAGTTGCTAGACCTTTATACAATAATTGGAATTAATAAACCAGAAGTAATATGCATTACTGGATCCCTCCATAGTCCATAGACAATGTAACGTTAGGACCTAAAGACTAATATCTGTAGAATAGATAAGGCAAATGGAAGTGGAGGAGGGATAGCAATATTAACAAAGACAGGAATTATTACAAAGGAGTTTAAAATTAAACAAGACGTCATAGTGGAACTAAAAACAACTGAGGTAGAAACAAACGGGGTAAATATGATAATAAGCTCAGAATACATCCCACCTCATACACGTACCTAACCTAACCAAAAACTAATTCAATAGACATTAGAGAGCCTAGAAGAAGTGCAACAACTTCCGGAAAGCAATGCAAAAATAAATTCTTGTAACCGGGGATTTTTAAAAGCAAAATTGACTAGGAAAGTTGCGATCCCAGAGCGCAATCACATTCATGGAATGCTGAATTACTAGGTCATAAATGAGTACTGCCTTTTCCAAAATGTAACAGATTATATAAGAATAAGAGGGCTATATAGATTATGCTTGACCTAATATTCACAAAGCATAAAGATGATATTAAGGTTACTGAGTACCGTCCTTCTCTAGGAAAAAGTAATTGAAATAAAATGCCGTTTCCTACATGGAAAAACTCATCATAGGGAAAGAAAGGTGAGTACAATTACAACGGAGATATTCATAGAAG